AAAGGAAAAGGAAATAAAATACTATAAACCTAGGTAATAAAATAAAATATTTCAAAATAAAATAAATGGAATAATAGCAAAAAAATTAATGACAATTGAGCACACATTTTATTTATTATTTATTATTATTTTATTATCATTTATATTCTTTTATTATATATTTTTTTATTATTTTTGGGTTGCCTCCCATTAAGCGCTAATTTTTGGTCCTTAACTTGACCTTTCTTCGGTAGTCAGTGAAGCGGATATGTCAAGGAGTAACTGGCTCCTTGAAATCTTTCTGAAACATGGTAGGGCTTCAACTGCTACCCGTTGACTTTAAAACTTCCAGATTTTTTGCTCCAGACTTCTACAACTCTATGAGGGAATGCTCGTACCACTTGAAAAGGATCAGACCAATGTGATTTTAATTTCTCAAGGAAAAGTCATAAGCGCGAATTGAACAGTAATGCCAGGTCTCCTTCCTTAAATTATTTCCTTCGGATTTGCTTATCGTGCAAGACCTTTGTTCTTTCTTTGTAAATCCTTGCATTTTCGTATGAGTCTTGTCTTAATTCTTCCAATTCATTCAGCTGTAACAATCTTTTCTCCCCCGCTGCTTTTATATCAAAATTCAAAATTTTCATTGGCCAATAAGCTTTATGTTCTAATTAAAACAGTAGGTGACATGGTTTTTGAAAATAAGTCTCAAAGGCAATATTCCAATTGGGGTCTTAAAAGCAGTTCTATAGGCCCAAAGAGCATCATCAAGCTTCAAACCCCAGTCATTCCTTGCACGATTCACCGTTTTTTGCAAAATTCCCTTGATTTCCCCAGTTGGAAATTTCAACTTGCTCACTGGTTTGCGGGTGGTAGGGAGTTGGTACCTTATAGGTGCCCCCATATTTCTTTAAAAGTGTCTCCAATGACAGATTGCAGAAATGAGTCCCTCTGTCGCTGATGAGAACTTTCGACACTCCATATCTAGTAAGTACAAATTTTTTCAAAAATTATATCACTACTCTTGTATCATTGGTTGGTGCAACAACTGTCTCTACCCACTTGGAAACGTAATCAACTGCCAATAGGATGTACTTATTTGAAAAAGATGATGGGAAGTGTCCTATGAAGTCTATGCCCTACACATCAAATATCTCAACTTCCAAAATTCCGTGGAGTGGCATTTCATCCCTTCTGGACATGTTCTCAGTTCTTTGGCACTTGCACAAGAAATTACAAAATTCCTTGCATCTTAAAAAAGTGTAGGCTAGAAAAATCCCGCTTGTAGTACTTTAGCAATCGTCTTAATGGTTCCAAAATGACCTCCATAAGGTTAAGAATGGCAATGGAACAGAACTTCTTGGATTTCTTTCTCCGGTAGGCATCTTCTCATGATCCCATCTCCGCATTTCTTGTACAGTAGCGGTTTGTCCTAATAATAATTTTTCACCTCACCAAAGAATTTCTTCTTCTGGTTGTAGCTCAAATTGGGTGGAATAATTCTACACACAAGGCAATTGTCAAAATCTGCAAACCAAGTTATCTTATAATCTTTCACAGCAAACATTTGCTCCCTAGGAAATGAGTCGTCGATTAGAAAATTCATATCATCTCCAAATTCATATCATCTCCCTAGGAAATGAGTCCTCTTGTCTGACTTTAGACAGATGATCGGCTACTACATTCTCTGCTTCCTTCTTATCCTTGATCTCATAATCAAACTGTTGTAGGAGAAGTACCCAATAGATCAATCTCGACTTTGCATCCTTCTTTACTATCAAGCACCTAATGGTTGCATGATCTATGAAGATGGTGACTTTTGATCCGATCAAATAATCTCTGAACTTGTTCAATGCCTATACTACTGCCAGAAACTCCTTTTCTGTTGTGGTGTAGTTCATTTGTGCTCCATCAAGAGTTTTGTTAGCATAATAAACAACATATGGCTTTTTATTCTTCCGGTGTCTAAGAATAGCTCCCACTGTATAATCACTTACATCACATAATCTCGAAAGGAAGATTCTAATCCGCTGGTTAAATAATCGGTGATGATGTAAGAGATTCCTTCAACCTGTAAAAAGAATTTAAACGTTCCTCGTTAAAAACTAACTGAACATCTTTAGCTAAAAGATTGCATAAACGTTTAGAAATACTGGAGAAATCTTTTATGAATCATCGATAAAATCCCGTATGACCAAGAAAGCTCTGATTCTCTTCACTGAAGATGGTGATGGTATTTTCTTGATGATTTCTACCTCTACTTTCTCAACCTCGATTCCTCTTTCAGAGACAATGTGTCCATGAACTACTCCTTCTTGCACCATAAAGTGATATTTTTCCCAATTCAGGACAAGATTTACTTCCTCATAATGTCTTAAGACTTTTGATAGGTTATCACACAATCATCCAAGGAAATCCCATACACAGAAAAATCATCCATGAATACTTCCATGATCTTTTCGATAAAATCAGAAAAGATAGTAGCATGCATCTTTGAAATGTAGCTGGGGCATTACAGAGTTCAAAGGGCATTTGTCTAAAAGCAAATGTACTATAAGGACAAGTAAAAGTGGTCTTCTCCTAGTTTAATAGATGGAGATAAATTTGATAAAAATCAAAAAGCCATCAAGATAGCAAAAGTGTGAATGACCAGTTAATCTTTTTAAAATTTGATTAATGTCAGGTAAAGGGAAATGGTCTTTATAGGTGGCGCATTTCAATTTCCTATAGTCTATACACATACGCCAAGCCGTAACAGTTCTAGTTGCCAAAGTTTCATCATTCTCATTTTTCACTACTGTAATACCTCTTTTCTTAGGTATCACATGGATTGGACTAACCCATGTACTATCTAAGATAGGGTCGTTACCTCTTTCTTGACTACCTCTTTCATATTAGGATTCAATCTTCCTTGGGGTTTAATTGAAGGTTTAATTCCTTCCTTCATTAGTATCCTATGTGTGGATATAGAGGGAATTATACCCTTCAAATCATATATATTGTATCTTAATATCTTCTTATGCTTCCTTAGTAGATTCAATAAAGTCTCTTCCTGGCTATCATCTGATGAGAAATTAATAATTACAAGATAAGTAGAGTTTGGGCCAAGAAAGGTGTACCTTAATCCAGGTGGCAAAGGTTTAAGTTCTACATGTGGTGCTTCCTCCTTTTCGCTAGACGAGGTTGGATTGGGTTACTCTTCATCATTGCAATTGCTTTGAAAACTCCTCGGGATAGAGCCTTGTACTTCCTCCTCTACTCCTTCTATCTCCTCGGTGTCCATCAGATATGAACCCAGTGGGTTAGCAAGAGTTTCTTCAACAATTTTTTCTTTCACTATCTCCTCTATTACATCCACTCGCATGCATTCTAAAACTCTGGCTAGTTGCTTCATCATGTCAAACAGGTTGAAATTTCTTCTTCTCCAACCTTCAATGTAAGCTTTTCTTCTTTCACATCAATCAATGCTCCTACTGTAGCCAAGATGGGTCGATCAAGTATGATCGAAATATGTACGTCTTCATCCATTTCCAGCACCACAAATTCTTCTAGAATATAAAACTTTTCGACCTTAATCAGCACATCTTCAACTACTCGAACAACATATTTGACTAATCAAACGGCAAGTTGCAAAATCACCTTGGTGGGCTTCAATTCTCCAATGTTCAGCTTTTTGAAAATATATAAGGGCATAAGGCTTACACTTGCCCCAAGATCACATAGATCCTTATCAATCTTCATAGCTCCTTCTTCACATGGTATTGAGAAACTACTGGGATCTTTCAGCTTGGGTGGTAGTTTATTCTGAATTACAGCACTACAATCCTCAATGAGTGCTACTGTTTCAAATTCATCCAATTTCCTTTTCTTTATTAGTATCTCCTTCAAGAATTTGGCATATGATGGCATTTGTGCGACGACATCCGTAAAGGGGATATTGACATAAAACTGCTTCAGCATTTCCAAAAATTTGCCAAATTGTTTATCAAGGTTCACTTGCCTCAATCTTTGTGGAAATGGAATTGGAGGTTCAAAAGCTTTCATCCTTCTCTGTATGTCTTCTTCTCATAGTCGCTTTAATTCTACTTCCTTCTTCTTCTTTTCCTCCATAGGCTCAAATTCATCTTCTATGTTTATCACGTCTTTCTCAGCTAGCCTCTCCTTTTGCAGTTTCAGTTTTGGATCTTCTAAAACTTTCCCATTTCTCAAAGTTACTGCATTGCACTGGTCCTTGGGATTTTGAATTGATTGACTTGAAAGCTTCCCATAAGCTTTAGAGTTTAAAGAGCTAGCTTGTTGTGCCATTTGATGCTCCATCATCTTTTGATGAGTGGTTAGTTGATCGACTTTCTCCTTCAACTGTCTAATAAGTTCGTCTTATGCGTCGACTCTCTGCTTCTGATTCTGTAGAAAACTTTTAAACATGGCCTTAAGATTGGATGTAGGATTTTGGTAAGGCTATGGTTATGGATTCTGATAGGGTTGTGGAATATTTGGCTTTTGGAATCAAGGTGGTGGTGGTCACAGTTTGTTAGTCAAGGTAGGTCTAGGGGGTGGATTTTGTTGGTTTGACCAGGAAAAGTTTGGATGATTTCTCCACTCGGCTGTGTAGGTATTTGAAAATGGGTTTCCTTGAGGTCTAGGCTAGTAATTGTTTTGAATATAATTTGCATGTTCCACTGTATATTCAGTCATTCCATACTGACACTCCATACTTGTATGACTGATATTTCCATAAACTTCACTTCCCATTGGTGAAGTTGGCACTGCAGTCACACTCAGGTTGTCCAATTTTTTTGGCAATTGCATCAAACTTGGCACTCAAAAGCGTCAATCAATCTACATCTAGAAGTCCTGCTACCTTCTTCATTGTACTTCTCTCTCCATTCCACCGATAGCTACTGGCTGCCATTTCTTCCAATAATCCATATGCTTCACAAATTCGTTTCTTTAAAAATGATCTGGCTGTAGCAACATTTAAGGCGCTTCGAGTTGTTGGTGTTGCTCCATCTGAATTTTCAAATCCATGATGTGGAGATTGGCGTTGAAGGTCTTTGAATCTTTCTCAGGCTTCATACAACGTCTCGTCTTCCTTCATTCGACAATTGGATATTTATTTCCTCAGCCTTGTACTCTTACTAGGTGAGAAATACTTCTGAAGAAAAGCTCGACTCAGTTCATCCCAGGTGGTGAACGATCCAGCAAGCATAGAGTGTAACCAAAGTTTTGCTCTATCCCATAATGAAAAAGGAAACAACCTCACTCGAATTACTTCATTTGAACATTGGGATGTGGCGATGTGAACATTAGGATCTTCGTCTGGTAGTACTGCAAACTGTGATTGTTGCACCATAAAAATTAAAGATGGCTTGATCTCGACATTGTTGGCTGCTACTGGCGGTCTCACGATAGCCGGTTGTGCTCCTTTGGGATTAGGCACATTTAAATCCCATAAAAGTTCTTTCCTCAACCATCGCGTTCAGTTGTTGATCTCAATTCAGACTTGATTCTGTTCGAGAATCTCCAGCGGGTCTGCCTGTTCAACTCTTTCCAAAACTGTGTTCGCACTTTCTCGTCTTCTTGATATTGGGCTTCACCTTCTTCTCTGATACCTCAGATTTTCTCTTCTCAAAGCGTGAGCAATTCTTTCAACATCTTGATTTTAGCATAAAAGACTAGTTCGCAAAGCGATGAGAAAAAAGAAAGAAAAGTTTTTTTGAAAATTAATTTAAATTAAATAATTAAAGGAGAAAATATTTACTTAAAAAAAAGAAAGTAAAATAAAATAGGTATACAAAAATAATCAATTAAAAGAAAGAAATTAAGCAATTAAGTAAAAGAAAATAAAAAGAATTAGAAAAAGGAAAAATGAAAATGCAATTTAAAACAATAATTAAAAAAATAAAAATAAAATAAAATAAATTCACAAAAAAAAAAGAAATTATAAAATTAAATAAACCAACTAATTAAAAGAAAATAAAATTCAACATATATAACGATATAATTATGTAGGTAGACGTACTAGACCTACTTAATGTAAAAGGAGGAAAATATTTAACATATATATTTTGTTTTTTATTTTTTATTTTTTCATGAAAATAATAAATCAAAAGGAAATTTTCTAATTAATTTTCTCACAATTAAATTAATATCTATTCTAGGCACCAATCCTTGGCAACGGTGCCAAAAACTTATTCGATTTGGTTCGATATATTCCTTTCAGAAATATGCTCTGCAAGTGTATGGGTCGTACAAGTAAAAAAAAAATTATCGTCACATAGAGATTTGGGAATAAGCTCTCAATTTTCTATGTTTAACAATTATTAGGAAGACTCGATAAGTGAAATTGATTTAAACTAAGTTGCAATTTAAATTAAACAAATCCAAATTAAAATTAGCAAGTGGAGATAATCAAAAGTAAATTCAAGCAAATAATCATTGAGATAATCTAGCTACAGGATCTCTATTAATTCTTAGTGCAAACCATGAATAGTTGATTTATGGTGTTCAAATTCCTCTATCGAGTTTAAATGGATAGTTAAAATCACATGACATTTATTCTCGTAGCTTAACATGATTAAAAAATGTTATTATGCCAATTCTTAAAGGAGAACTAACATAGGGTATCCAGATTCCTCTCTCGAGTTTAAATGGAATGTTAAAATCATGCGACATCTACTCTCGTAGCGTAACACAATTAAAACTCATTAAGCCGATGTTAATTCCTTTTACCCTCAAAGAACTTAGCATATCTCTAAGTCTAAATCCTAGGTTTAATATGTAGGATCCGATCTAGCTTTCAATCTCTCGATCTAACGAACAAATCTAAAATCATGCAAATATAGGTATCGACATATTCACAAGCATTAAGTTCAAACACATTAAATCAGGAATTTAAGCATAGGGTATCCAGATTCCTCTCTCGAGTTTAAATGGAATGTTAAAATCATGCGACATCTACTCTCGTAGCGTAACACAATTAAAACTCATTAAGCCGATGTTAATTCCTTTTACCCTCAAAGAACTTAGCATATCTCTAAGTCTAAATCCTAGGTTTAATATGTAGGATCCGATCTAGCTTTCAATCTCTCGATCTAACGAACAAATCTAAAATCATGCAAATATAGGTATCGACATATTCACAAGCATTAAGTTCAAACACATTAAATCAGGAATTTAAGCATTTAGACATAAAACAAACTATTCAAAGTTGCATTTTAAATTAATAGATAAATTTCATAACTAGATTAGGATGTTTAGCCTAGCATTATATTAATTTATCAACACAAATAAAATACACCAGAGAAATAAAAGGCATTATAGAAATAAAATTTGAGGTTTATTTAGTTGATTGACCATGATGCTCACGTCCCAAGCTTCAAGGAATAGTCCTTTCTCTTAATCCTTTTGTGTTGTAGTAACACTAGTGGCTAATGGCTACTAACTCTCTCTCTTATTTGGTTGATCTCTTTTGATTGGCTCATGTGTGACAACTAGTGCCAAAGGAGCCTAAACTTGATAACTCCGTTCTTGCATCCTTATATAGAACTCTTTGCTTAGTTCTTATTGGTCCATATCACTCACCACTTGCTGAGGTTGAGACTGAAAAGCTGTCTTCACCACCCAACTTTTGGAAAAGAAATGTTCAAATATGGTGAAGGGAGCTGCTCTTGAAATTAGGTGCAATGTTTCTTCAACACTACAACATTTTTGCTTCAAACGATCTGTCAGAAGATCATTTCACAGACTGCTTTGCACTTAGTCCATTGAGTGTCTCTCTTTCTTTCTTTCTCCTTAGGCTGGATTTGCTTTGAGCTTTGGAGTTGTTTGGCTTTTTTAGGAGATTTATTTGGACTTTAAAGGCAACTAGACTTCAAAGGCTTCCTTTTACATTAATGAGGTGATAATTGGATCATAATTGGTCCATTTTGCTCAAAATAGTAGATGCTGATGTTGCACAAGTGCCAACCAGACAAAAGAGAGAAAACCAAGCAAAATGGAATTTTATTCTTATTTTTGTATTCAGAATGGAACTAAATTTAATTAAAACAAATGATAAAACATATGCATATTTTATTGCTATCACTCCCAGCACCACAACTATCCATTATGAAATGGGAAGTGTGTATCATCCCTTCCCGGTCCACCCGTGAACCCGAATGAACCGAGCCGAGACGCTACAATCTGGTTGAACCTATGCGAGCCGAGACGCTACAATCTGGTTGAACCTATGTCCTATCATGCTGATATCATCCTGTATGCTAAATATTATGTCATGTTGTTGCTTTATACATCATATATATACAGACATTTATTTAATATATACATGACATTAAACTATTTTCCAAAATGAAATGGGCCCAACGATGTGCCCAGTACATGTCACAGAACCAAAATATCAAAATGAGTAGCTGATGAACTGGTAAAGATGATCGTGATCGTGATCACTAACCTAGGTTAGGATGTGTACTCATCTTTATTAATAATCCAAAATCTCACTAAATTAGGAAATTCAAGAAACTCAACTTACTTGGATAGAGTTATAGGTTGAATTTAATGCTTGAAAGGTTGAATATTAAGGTAGAAAATGGAGGAAGATTTAGGAGAAGATGGTGGAGAAGGTAAAGTGAAGGAAGAAGACAAGGAGAAGATGGGAGAAGGTAAAGTGAATGGAATTTTCGGGTTAAAACCTCCAAATATATCTTTCCTTAGTATGTTACCAAAATTACCAAATAGTACCTAAATTTCAATATTTTACCATTGTAATACCTAAACTTTATACTTTATTTCAATTTTAGGGTCCTAATCCTTATACTCCGTTATTGCCAATTTAGTCTACATTCTTTACGTTCATTCAATTAAGTCCAAGTCTTTGATTTATTTAATTTTTATGGCCTCGAACTGGGTTTTTGATTTATTTAATTTTTATGGCTCGAACTGGGTTCTGGTTCGTTCCGACTTGACTCGACTCGCTAAATGCAACGACTCAATTCAGTAGGATGTCACAAAGTGGGTTGTTAGAGAAGAAGAAATAGACCGAGCATATATGGTAGAAGAAACTGAGTCATCTTGGAAGACAGAAACAACATACAATAGGAACACTATAAATATTTCAAAAAAGGCGGAAGAAAAATTTCGAGCAAGAATCAGAGAGATTCTTAAAGAATATAAAGTGGCAGGAGATAGCAGTGATTACGGGCTCAAGAATGATTCCCCATTACCGCGAGAAATATTAGAAATATCATTTCCTTCAAAGTTCAAGATGCTAACATTTCAAGCATATGACCCATAATAGACCCAAGAAGCTATTAAGCTAATTTCATAACCATAATGCACATTCAAACAACAACAAATGGACTATTATGTCGAGCATTCCCAACAACTCTAAAGGGACCAGTACAGGAGTGGTACTAAATGCTCAAAACAAGATTAATTGCATCCTTTGCTTAACTAGCTTCTGTCTTCAAAGCTCGGTTTGTCACATGTATCCCGAGCAAAAAGATCTTATCGGACCTGATTGATCTAAAAAGGGATGATTGAGAATCACTCAAGTAGTAGCTTAATAAATTCCACAAATTGGCTATGCAAATTGAGGACCTAAATGTAAAAGTGGCCATTAGCACCATGTTAAAAATTCTAAGTATGGAAAACTATTTGATTCCATTAATATTGATCCTCTGTTTTCTTTTGCAGAATTAATGTTCCGAGAAAACAACTATACTCGACTATATGAGGCTTGGAAAATCCAACAAGCATATATCAAAGTTCCACGAGAAAGAAAGAAGGATGATTTTATAAAAGGCAATCACCCATAGGATTTAGTAGACCACACTTTGGTCATACAAATTACACATCCAGAACGCCATATTCCCGAGCAGGAGATGTTGAAGAAAAACGATTCACAAAAAAGAATAAAGAAGTTACGATTATAATTGATCATCCCAATTATACTAACTTTTAAACAAAAAAGAAATAAAAGTACAGAGCAAAATGGAAAAAGCTCTAAAATTAGCACGCATAACATTTAAAATCATGAGCCTAGGTAAGCTCAAGATAAAAATGAGTTAGAGAACTTAAAATCAAAGGCCTTAAGAAAAAGAAATATGAAATTTCATTAGAGGAAAAATG